GTATTCATTACTCAGTTTTCAAGTGTTTATTGCGCCTTGATTTTTGCTTTACCAACTAACTGCATGATTTTTACAGCTTTAAATGGCTACTTTTGAGAATTTAACAAAGTCATACATGTTTAATTTATTTCATTCATTAAAAAACTGATAGTTTCTTATTTTCTCATCATTCTCGTATACTTAATTGGGCAAACTTGAAATGATAGCCTTGCTTTATCTCTTTAGCGAAATTATCACAATGCGCCTGTCATGTCAGATTTGATTCATAGTCGTTTTTTTTGCAAATCAAGTCAGCTTTAAAAATTTTTGGGTACAATAAAATGAACGAAATGCTCCACGAAAGACTTGTTGCTTCCGTAACCTTGGCATTTACTCAAGGAGTGTATGCTTACAGTACTTACTTCTTGCGTAAATTGCTAGTCTTAGCTTTGTCCAAACGTTGATTTCGATTCGATAGTATAAGTATTATATGCGTAGGTTTGTCTTATTTCAGCTCTAAAGCAGTCACCTTCACGGCGTCGGGCTCGAAAGAGCATAGGAGATGAAGATGTCCCAATCTCTACGCGTGATATCAATCCGGTTATTAGCGTAGGGGTTCCACGCCCATCATTGCGAACTTCGCATCGGACCAACTCGGAGAAGAAGGAGAAGAAAGTATGGTTTATTGTATTCGCTTTTTCATTAGTTTCTCCTCACTACCTTATCTGGCTATTTATGTTTTTAACACTTTAAATCTCCCTTTTACGTTATCTTTTCCACAATGATGTTACCAGTACGCGAACTTAAACGTAATTTATGCTTTCCGTTTCTACTTTTGCTCTACTGTAGATGCTCTAGGTGGAAAGACTGTTCGCAAGCTCCAATGCCCGTGCAGACGAACGAGAACCGCTACAAGAGGAAGAAGACGAGTTTGTGAGTAAACCAATGCCTGGCCAACTGTAAATAACGCTGATACCCGTATCTGATCGCAAGCGCGAAACTCTATTCTTTTCTGTAAAACACTGGTTAGATCTGATTAGCGGACGAGTTGTTTGCTGCTTGCCGCTATTGTTATAAGAATCGATTTAAAGCATGCGAAAGTGTCGTGATCGAAATTAACAAATGTTGTGTGATGGCTTTCTATTATTGTGTGCATTGT